TGATGAGGGCAATGAATGTACAAATGTGCTTCACACAATTGATGTATGTATGGATTGTGATAAGAGTTCTATGATCCCCTAATAAAATGATTTTAAAAAATCACAGGCCAGTGAATGGAAAGTCTTGTGGATCCAGTGGCCGTGGAAGCATCAAAGCATTGGCATGGGTCTCCATGTGGGTCCTCCAGCTCCCAGGCTCCAGCTGCCAACAGCACAGCTCCATGTGTCTTCTCCGGAGGGATGTCTTGCAGGGAGTGAGCGTGTGTCCCGCCTCCAGTGAGCTATTTATTTCCTTAGCACCTCCAAATGAGGTCATCAATCTGCGACCTGATTGACAGGCTAAACTCTACCCCTTCACTCTTAATAGTCTCAAGTTGACAACAGATTATGTAACTACCGCAGTAGGCAAGACGGGGATCTGCCTCCGCTGAGGCCCCACTTGGTGGCTGGAGTGACATGGAATGACGACGTCACAGGGACCGAGTCATGACATCAACTTCTCTGGACACTCACCCATTCCTCCCACCCCCCCTTCCTGGTGGACCGTAGGTAACCCAGATATCCCTCTCTGGGCCTGAGAAAGGCAGTGGGGTGGGCTGGGTCCCTGGGAACTCTTCCAGGGGTCTGAGGGACCCAAGCATTGCCCGTCAGCTTTGTAGAGTCTGAAGCTCTGTCCGCTGAGGTCACATGAATGGATGCACTGCCCTGGTTGGTATGTGAACACAGGGCTTCAAATGTCACGCTCCTCTGCTGTATGAATGCTGGCCCGGGGAGAACGGCAGGGAGAGCATGCTCCCCAACTGCCAACAGTGCTCGACATATGGAGCAGCAAAAGGGACATAAATCCTAAACGGTCCTGCCTCTAAGGAAGGGACAGGAGAAACTACAGAGTCAACTACCAAGCCCTGATTTCAAAGGAAAACAATCTCTTCAGTTTTTAATGTCACCTCCCTCCACGAAGTCCCTGCCAAATGAGTAGATCAGTGGAGCTGGCGTCGGTCCCCACAGCCAGCGGGTGGCTGGCGGGTCTCTGTCAAACACAGGTGTGGTACCTGCTTTAGTTTTCAGGCCTCGAGTCCATGAACGGGTGAAAGTCAACCCCCCCCCCCAGGGCTATGAAAAGGAGACGGGAAATGTGGCCTGAGAAAACTCTGGGCATGATTCTGGGCCTGGGTTTTCCCTCTCAGGACGCAGTGGCTGCCCGTGGAGCGTGCTCCGGGCACGGGCCCTCGGCTGGGTGCCGGGTGCCGTGGACGGGCAGCCGACTGGGACACAGCCCTGCCCGTGGTGTAATCCTCCCAGAGCACCGAGGGGATAAGAGATGTCAAACTCATTAGGACAGAAGTGCTCATCGGGTTGACTTGTAGCCACCCTGTGTGAGGGTTCCCTTGGGAACCCCTGGGCTGTCATTGCCACACGAGCAAATCACCAGGTCTTTCTTCCGGAGAAGCCCCACTGGGTGCGAGTCCCTGTAAAAGGGGAGAGGGCCTATTCGAGCTTGGCAGAAGAAGGATGGTCATGTGATTCAAGGTTGCTGCACCAAGGGCTTCTGGGAACCACCAGAAGCTGGGAAGAGGCCTGCACAGTTCTCTCTCAGCACTCGCAGAAGGAATCAATGCAACCACTATTCTGGTTTGAACATTTCAGCCCCCAAACTGCAAGACAATCAAGTTCTGTTCATCACCACTACCCTCCCCCCATCCCCACTACCCTGCCTACAGCAGATTCCTCTCAGCGGAGTTGTGCCCCATCAGCACACGAAGGCTGTACTCCCTCCATGTCTTACGGCCCACTCTACTCTTCCTCGGTCACATTTCAAGTGCCTTCGGACCCAAAGGGCCCCTCTCCGGGCACTCTCTCTCTGACATTGCTCTGTTCCTTCTCAGGGGGTTTTCGGTCTCTGAAACTACGTTTAGCCTGTCCACGTGGTTTTCCAGGACTACTTCCCCAGAAGCGGGCAGCCCATTCCTTCTTCAGAGTCCTTTCTCAGTCTGGAAGCTCTGCTGAAAACGGCTCGCCTTGTGCGACCCTGCTGGCACTTCAAATGCCAGTGGCGAAGCTTCCAGGGCACACAGCCAGCACGGTATGATGGACAGACAAGGGTGGGATCCAACTCCCTGTCTCAGATCACAAACCCAATCCCATGTCAGGAGAGCTTCCCCCTTAGGGAGAGGAGCAGGGATCTGTGCCGACCACCACAGAAGAACTGGAAGCAGAGGACACCCTTGGGCCACGGTCCTTGCACTAAACCAAGAAGTACGGATGCCAAGACAGATGGAGCTGGCCAAGAAACCTAGGCAAGGACCTTCTCTGAGCCCTCAGGGCGAGAGGAAAACACAACTGTATAACTGGCACCTGGAATGTAGACTTCTAGCCTCCTAAACTGTGAGCGCACCACTTAGCTGTCAGTGGTGGCCGTGTGTTATCATGCTAGAAGCTATGTCAGTGGTATTTCAATAGCCAACAGGATCACCCAAAGTGAACAGGTTTCCACAGGGCTTCCAGACTCAGAACAGACAAGGAAGAAGGCACTGGCTCCCCACTTCAGAAGAAGTGACCCCTGAAAACCTTGCACTGCAGATACCCGGGCCTGCAGATTGGAGGCAGAACGTTGTCGGAGATGTTCCGGAGGGTGGCCCATCGGGTCGGAAGACACTGTTACGTGACTGAGGAGGAGCTGCTTTCTCAGAGCAGAGCCCACCGTGGTGATGTGAGCAGAGTGGAGCCTGAAGGATCTGCATTTGCTGACAGGGCACAACTCAAGGCGAGGAGAAACAGCTGCAAACGCCCACTAGAATGAAAACAGCAACGTACGCATTGTGAATCTAGGGATATTGGAAGCTGTCAAAAATGAAATGGGACACACAAAGATCTAGGGCCTAGGTGTTAGTGAGCAAAAAGGGACTGGTTGGGCCATTTTGAATCAGAGTATCATATGGCTTACTATACGGGAAGGGCACACAAGGGGAATGGCGGGGCAATCATGGTCATAGAGGCTATTTCAGGGTCTATCGTCAAGTGCAATCCTGCCTCTGATAGGATCATACCTACTTGCCTTCGAGGAGACCCAATCAGTGCAACTTACATTCAAATGTATGTACCAACCAAGAAAGCTAGCAATGACAAAAAGTAATGAATTCTACTGTCTGCAGTCTGTAATTGATCAAATGTTGTGGTAGTTACATAATTTGGTGTCAATTTGAGGATTAAGCATGTAGGGGTGGAGTCTAGCCTGTCAATCCGGCGACAGACAATGAGACCTCTGTGTGGGCCTGGCCTTCTCCTGAGAATTCTGGGAACTTCTGTATTTCTTCCTTGGAGGTGGGAGACACTTCTCTCTCTCTGCTTCCTCCCTTGGAAACACTCCACTGACAAAACACATGGTGCTACACCCTGGGAGCTGGAGAAACCCCATGGACCTAGCCTGATGCAGCCAGGACCCTGGACCTGGAGAAGCCACGTGGAGACCCCTGGAGATGCTTACAACACCACTGGATCTACAAGACTTCCCACCCACTGGCCTGAGATCATCCTGCATTCAGCATCATTGCATGTGCTTCGTG